CAGAGGTATAAACGGGAGACAATATAAAAGGCAGACATTGGTGTGGAACCCTTTGGTTTTATTTAAAACCCTGGTGAGGTGGGTACACACAAAAAAATCTAGTCTGATCAACTCTCATTCACAGGGTTTTCTTTCAGAGGGCAAATATATTTTACCTTCATCTACCTGTAAGGAAAAACCTATGGTTACAATAGAACCAAAACCCAGACAATACAAAATGAAAAGAAAAAATAAAAACTAAGAACAATTCTAATAGTAAATGGAAATAAATGACTTGGGGCAAGACAGGGAAAAATATCTGAGCTGGTCGTATAGTCCTTGCTTGCCTCTCACAGTATCACTTTTCACAGAAAATCCTGGCAAGAAACACTGGCTGCAGTGGTTTTAATCTTGGAAATGATCCACGTGTAGTGGCTGCATTAAGACTGAAAATGAAAAAGCCAGAGGTGGTAAGAGTGCCCTCTGCCTCACAGCAGTGATGGCCGTGTCTGACTCTAAATGCCTGCATTCAGCCCCTCAGCTGTGTTTCATCAATACTGAAATACAGCATGGAGTACAAGCAAGCCAGCACAGGAAGGGGACAAGGAAGAAAAGTAAGCAAGCTTGGGGCCCAAGGTCACCAGATACATAGACCTTGCAATACGCAGTCATAAACATCACAAGTCCTTGTGCACAGCAAAAAGGGGGTGCTGTTACTGACAGCAGTAACAGTCAAGATAACACAGAAAAATCAAACTAGGAACCTCTGACCTATAGAATTGGTCCAGGGTCTGTTCTATGGGAAAACCTATCCCACACCATGGGAAAGGCCAGGGAAACAGTCATGGTACAGGTTATTCCTCATGCAGAGATTATGTTGCTGGGTAAACTGAATACATTTCTGATTGTTTCCTTCCTGCTCTAAGCTCCTCAGCTAACCCCAGGAGCCACGCAGGTACATAGAAAAGCATCCAAATGGAGAAGGAAAGGGCAGGTCACACTGAAGTGTTTTGTTTGGATTCTCAGACTTTGTTGTTTCTAAAATGGGAAAACTGTACAGCAGTCAGTGTGGCTTTATTGCATGATATACTGAGACAGGACAGGGAAAGACAACACAGGTCCTAATATTACAGCAAGTACCATTACAGAGAGCTAAATGGTAAGCAAATGCTGCATAACTGATACAATCAAGAAAATACAGGCAAGGTCTTTCTTGCATTGACTTGTTACTTGGCATTCAATAACTCACTGCCAAGTGAAAAATACAATTACTGAGACCGCACTGCAGAAGAAAAGCATAGTTCAACTTTCTGGCAAAGCTCAAAGTTCTATTACCCTGTAGCAAATCAATCAAATGTGTGTGCAGCAAGCAATGAAACAGCACAGATGTCACCTCACTGCTTTCAGCTGAACATGTATTTTCTTCTTTTTAAAAAAACAGCAAGTAGCACTACAAAATAGTCACAAAGTTCACACTACGCAGATGAAAAGAAATCCATCAGTGTGATTTAGAACAGCAGAGACCAGTGTTCACGAAACAAATAATGAACATTTATCACTAGTAACCTGGTGTGATGTTTTTTTATAGATAGCAAGGTTCATGATACCAGATTAACATTATATCTGCCACATTTCAATAACTAGATGTCAGGCATGCAAAGGCAATCATGCATTGAACCATGTGCAAACAGGTTAGCTAGCGCTGATGGATGCGCACAGCAAATGCCACTTAACCCAACATGGAGCACTGTTCTGAGCTATGCAAATAAAAGCTGACCCACTACGCACATGATGGCTTGGGAAGTCCCACACACTTTGTTTAGTGACTCTTTTTTGCACTTTTGTTATGACCAGTACAAAACTGCACTCGTGTTCATGACACTCTAGGCTACCTACCTCCCATTGGGCTTCACTAATACCTGCAACAGACTCCAGTCACGCGGTAAACCACTGAAAAGTACCAGGGACGTATTATCCTATTTACCAGCAGCTGAGCAAGAAAGGATGACACAAAGTTTGTCTTGAATGGAATGGAGATCTTTAGTTTCCAGCAGGAATCATTATGCAAGGTTGCATTTTCTTTGTTTAGTTTTTTGGTTTTTTTTCCCCCTTTTGTTCACTATTAATGCATCATTCCCAAAGCCAGTGCAAAATTTTGCAATCCGTTTCTTTCAAAGGGCTGAAGCCAACTTTGAAATCAAGATCTCTGATCTAAACATTTTTTGCTACAATGTACTGTTTCACCTTATAACAGAGAACAGTTTCTGCTTTCTGCCTGCATGTGACTGTTATTTAGTTATGGCTACAACAAATGCCTTTTTTTTTTCCTAAGTTAAATAAATAAATTCACAAATTTGATTAAAACTGAGCAGAATATCAAGTCTTTGCAAACAAAATTGTATTTTAAGTTATCAAAACAACTGATTCAATGCAAATGATTAAGTACATACAACAATGGAAATGAAGAGACCACCACTTAAATACACAAAGTAAATTCTCACTGTAGTTATGTAGAACTCATTTTGAAAGCGGCATCTTAAAAAAATTTATTTAGCATATTGAAAAACAAATGTTACAAAAAAATTTCTATAAACATAGGCAAAAAAGTTTAAATAGGATAATTTAATGTAAACCAAACCCCTTTAAAGGATGCAATACTGTAATCAGAGGTTATTTACATCCAGTGAAGACAGAACAACCTTCACTAATTCTGAATATCATTTAAACAAATAATTAAATCATTTCTTGAAACAGTGACACATATCTGTTAGTTTTAGTAGATAAATCATCTCAGTCCCAATAGAAGATGAAATTCAAGGTTATATTCAGAAGTGGGAAAGGCAGTGTCCGTGACAATTCATATCATCAGTCAAGATAGTACTGCATTGAGACTTGCAAAACCTTTAGAGAGGTGCAACTATACATTTATAATATTTATTGCATGACAGTGCAATTACAGGATAGGTAAAACACCAAAGTGATCTTTTTTCAATCAGATTAGAAAAGCCAGGCACAAGACTAAGCTATTTTCCCACATTTCATAAATAAGAACAAAACAATTTGTAGTTTGACATTATTCCAACATCGATAAAGCTGTTCATGTCTTAGAGGAAATACATTTGGGTAACTGTCCTACGCAAGTTTTGTTTAATTATGAAATCTATTCACCAACACGTAAGCTTATAACCCACAATGGCTTTCACGCTCATGTACATGGAAAAGGCATAACCCAATAAATTAAACATGTAGATCACTTTAGATATTTGGTTGTGGCTTTTTTTTGAAGGATGAGCATCATTATTGTATTGCACATAAAAACAACACGTTCAACTTAAGAGCCAGAAACATAAAACCGTTAAAAGTAGCAGTGGAATACACAGTAATTAAAACAGAAGAGAAAGCAAAGCCAGCTCATCTCTAAACTAGATTGCCCATGTTCAGGGGATGATGATGTCTGCTAAATGACCTAATCTGAAACGGGCAATCTCCATGCATTTCCTACAGGAAAGTCTATATCCAAACTGGTAAAACTACTAGCTGTGCTGGCAGGAACAGGAGATGCCAATATGGCATGGACATTGAAATACCAGCTCTTTTTGAGGTGGCTCCTGCATGTTGAGATGAGGCACTGTTTTGGTAACGTCTGCCTAAAGCAGTATATTAACTGTTGCTCAGTATAAAAGGAGCTTCTGCAAGTGGCAGTTCAAGACACACAAGAGCTAAAACCACTTCAAAAGAAAAGGTCAGAAAGTCCAAAATTAAGACCCAGGCAATTCTTACTCCAAGTGTCCAAGACACTGCACTTATCTGCCCAATAACTATCATATAAAAGGAATATAGGTTAAGTTTTTGACAATGGTTTGGCCTGGAGTTCATCTATTAACTCTTAATACAACTTGCCTTAGCCACTGAATGTCCTCAGCAGGCAACTTAGGCAACCTACTCTTCATCAAAATTGAAAACTAAAATTAATCATAAAATCCTTACTTCATTTGTCAATACATCACATCAGATTCTTACAGAATTGTGCATATACACACCCATCTATGACCATACGTTTCTTTTCAGCAGCTTTCTGTGAAGTTTCTTAGGGAAGATGGACCAAACCCCCATGAGACAGAAGACACCAGCATACATCTTGGACAATAACAGGAATTTCAAATGGATGCCACTAGCCTTTCATTTGGGGTCTTTGGAACAAGATGCAGTTTGGGCTTCTGCTGTAGGAAAGTCAACACAGTAGTCCTTCAAGTCTCATACATTTCAATTGGTGATTATTCATTAGTAGAACACAGAACAATACAAAAGGTAATGCCCAGCTACACTGGCATGGAAAGAAAACTGAAATGAGTATTCAGAAGCTAAACCATGCAATGAACTTTTAAATCAAGCTGGGGAAAAAAGAATTGCCACACTACAGCTTGTACCACCTTAACTATCATCAGTGTCTAAATCAGGTGGTTGAAATTCTGTACAAGCCTCCATTCTAACTTGCATCAAGTCTGACAGAAATCCACTTGTCTTCAGCCTCAAAAAGTCACTCCAGAGTAACGCTTGGGGCTATGCCTACATTGTTTTCTTAAAAATACACATCATGTGTCCTCCCGGTTCTGCCTTAGCAGGTGGGCCCCATGCTCAAAGCTAGAATGAGTCAGGCAGCAACTTCTGGACCCAGGCTCGACTAACATGCTTCCCAGGAACTCTTACTCTGATGAGGACCTGTAACCTAAGAGCTGTGGAAAAAAAAGCTTGTGTACACTGAGAATGGAGTGTGTTTTAGGAGTTCGTCTCATCGATCAGAGCACTACGCTCTTCTTAGAAACAATGAAAAATTTAAGTAGCTGTATTTCATTATAACATAGTTAACTCTTGCAACAGAAGCACCTTGTTGGAATTGATAAGCAATAAATATATTTGTTGTTGAAAAAATGGTTATGCTCTCTGCAAAAGATTTCCATAGCAACCAAGGTAAGGTGCACACATGCCACATGTAAGTATGCAAAAGGCAAAGAGTATCAGGATTTGAGGAAGAGGTTTTTATTTCACAGCTTGGGGAAAAAAAAGTCACACACATACACTGAATGCTTTTCCTTTTTTCCCCCTTTTAGAAGGAAAGTAATATCTATGGGTTTCTGAGTTTATGGATAATATCCTGGTCTCAGTGAAGACTATGGTAGGAAGACTACTATCAGGATTTTATCCACTCATGTATTTCAGTATTTCATTATTTACTGTTGCATGAACTTTCAAGTTCTAAACTTAACATACACACACTCCTCACCTCTAGAATACACAAGTAAAAACAGATATGAAAACAGAGAGGAAAGTCAGAACATGGACAAAAGTAGTACAGTATTAAATTCACTAAGTAGTGTCTTGGATTGTTAGCTTCTAAACATTTACAGAATTTTGAGTTGTAATAGCAAAAGCTTTAGAATACACCTCTTGTGCTAGGACTCGGAAATTATTGCTATTACACCAGCATACTCTTAATGAGATACCGGTTTGAACACAATGGCTTACTGCTTCAAGGGCCCATGATAGAGTGCAAATTGTAACAAAAAATCCAAGTGAGAAAAAGGAACCAACTGGGCAAAAGGCAATACTGCAAAATCAGTCCCCTTTAGTGTAAATAGCTGTCTAAAATGCTGCTTAAGGATTCCCTATTTCAGGCAATTCTGACAGTCTGCAGTAAGAAAGGGGAGATTCCATAAATGGAATGTGGGGAACGTGGACAATATTTGGACTAAAATAAGTGCCATCCTCACCACAGACCTGCTTTTGAGATATATGACAGAGCACCACGTTTGTATCTGCACTATACTCTCAATGCAGAGTCCTTAATTTTTAAGACCTGCCATAAGGGAAAAAAATCCCAAACCCAAAGAAAAAGTGGATCTAAACCCAAAGTGAAGTTCATCATACAAGTCCACTAAATTACAGAAATGCATAATAAGCCAAGATAAAGTGCTACAAAATGATTAGTAATTTTTAAAAAGTCCATAGCATTCTTCCTGTTTTACTTAGTACTGGTGACAATAGGAGATAGTGCAATTGCACCGGCTGAACTACAATTCACAATGTCTTCATACTTTGGGGGGGGGTCTAAACGTTGTTCAGTTTCACTTCTTCTTATACTGATTTCACCAGTGGCTTCCTCATATGAAGGAGGAGGATCACAGTTTGAGAGCCTTGTGGATACTGAGTCTGACCGTCCATCCATATAGCTCAGATCTCCTGGAGAGAGCCCACTGACTTCATACATTTCCTCCTGTGGGGAATGAACAATGCTGAGAGGCGGCGGAAGAGGACCTCTGCCATCAGCCACAGCACCATCACCCATCGCTTCGTGGGCTCCCCTATGCATGTACACCGACTGTCTACGCATTTTCTTTTTAAACAGGCATCTCCATATGACAAAAATGACAATGAGGATAATGAAAAGGCCAATGATTAATGGAAATGCAAGGTAAAATGAATACCAGGTATGTCCTGTGTTACTTTCTCCCTGAAGTCCGTTTTTGTAGACTTTCCAGAACTCCTTCTAGAAGAACAAGACAAGATAAGTCAGAAACTACAGGACAGTTAAAAAACAATCACTGTAATCAAATTGTTTCAAATGAATGAGAAAACAAAAAAGGCATTTAAAATACTGATGATTAAACCAAGAACTGGTATGGATAAGCACACACAATAAACTTTCAAATTTTCTACTGATGTGATTAGCAATACAAAAGAATTTTGGGGTTTTTAAAAAACAGTTCCTCACTGCTTTTAAGATTCCTGTGTCTACACTTAATATTTAAAAACACAGCTCAGACAGGACTAGGATAACAACAACAACAATAACAATAATAATAATATCTAATCAGCATGCACATCAGCCATCTGGTGGATTAAAATTTTTCAGCATCGCTCAAGGTAAAAGATAGTACTCTGCTCCTTTGTTTTAAATTTGTAGTAACATACTAATACGATTTCACAGGGAAATACTCTTTCAGAATGACATACCATTTTGGCAAAGCACAACTATGTTATACTGTCATCTCGTAATTTAGACTTCCCTCACACTCTGGCTCATAAAGCAACTGTCAGCTTATTTTGAGTTGATTCAGATCCTCTATTTATAGTTCAAAATAGCTCCAGCACTATGAGAATATTACACAGCTTATTATGTTCTGGAAATTCTGACAACACAGCTACAGATAAATGGAACAGAATGTGGAAGAAAGGAAATATGACCAAGTGAAAATAAAGATGAACACCAGTACTTGACAGTACTTTTTGCTATATTAATATGCACAAGCAGGAACACAAAGACCACATTGCCATCCAATTTTCTCTGCAGTGAATGCTATGAAAAAACAGTACAAAAAGCATACCATGCCTCAAAAAGTAGTAATCCTCACCTGTAATATAAGATCTCTCCTACTAAGCAGCACTTCCACTTTTCTAGTCATGTATAAAAATAAATAAATAAACAAATAAATAAATAAATAAAAGAAGCCCCACAACCCTCAAAACCATGCCAGAAACTCTGAACTATTTTCTTTTAAAATGCAGAGGCCTGACTCATTCATACTCATGCCAGCATCCATTTTAAGTGATAGCACATATACTCACATGCAGTTATTTATAAAATAGTCACCTGGTAAGATCGATATTGTCAGTGCTCAGTTATTAGTAAGTGATGCACTCAGGTTGCAGACTGACTGGCTTTGTGCACACACAAATCAGATCCATAATTTTTTTAGTTCATGACTGTTGCTGTGATTGGCGTTAGACGGACAGTGCCATCAAACTGATCTTGGAGGCAGCCTGAGTCCAGAAGCAGCATGGCCCCTCTAGTGTGGGGGCTCAGCTTGCCCTGTGCAAAGGACCAGGACCCCATGGGCAAAACACATGCTCATAATGCTTCATCAGAATTCACTAAGGTTAAGAGCAATGCCATGTGTATGGAATAGCTGGCTATCCTGTACATTTTTAAAACAAATTCAGTTGTTCTTATGCCAATAGTCAGTGCCAGTTTAAATAAAAGGAATTAAAAAAAATTAAATCTTAATTCCTACAGCAATCCAGGATAGGTATTTTTCCTACATTCCAAGGCTTGACATCACAAGCAGGTTGTCACAGTGCCCCTCTGATCCTCTGATGCAAACCCAGGTCCAAATAACCTTAAGCTAAGTAGCACCGACTTCAAAGTAAACAAGTCTGGGAAGATGGACTAACCTCCATAGATACTCATTTACAAAGGCCTTCCTTGATGCATTGTTCTACAGTGAGAACCAGATCAACTGTGCGTACTTCAGAAAAAAACAAATTGGGGGGGGGGGGAACTAACATTAAAAACTTGCATTAACTGCACAGCTGAGGACTTTTGAGATCTCTGCATGACAAAAGCCAACAAAATGCAACACCTCATGTCTCCTCACCCAATCACCAGACAGTTGTTACCTATTATTTCCACCCGGTTTGAATATGACTAACTAGATTCTTTAGCAGAATAAATAATGAATATATTATTGACTAAAAAAGCATAAAAGGTTTCATTAGGATTATTAAATCCTGCTGTCTGTACTGGAACCAAGCTTCCCACTTCACTGTTCTGCTGCCTCAACAGCAGCAAAGCATAAAATGGTACAGTGTTTGGTTTTGAGGGCAAAGTTGCAAAGATTTACTGGAAGTCATCAAGTATAGTGTGCAAGAATGCATTATTTTAAAGATTGTGGAGAATAAAGGTAGTTTTGATGAAAAAGAAGAAATCACACTTTACCCCTAGCAATATATTTTGTGTTGCAGGCTGCAGAGGAAATACACCTTCTCTGAGGGAAGGGTAGTAAGTTGTGACTTGTATTTTAGTATTGTTTCCATGTTACTCCTAGCTCAGCTCTAACTACTGGAGAAAATGTCTCTGTACCCTCTTCGGAAAGTTGGAATAACAGCATCTCTCCTTGTCACTCTGCAACATGGCAAAGCAGCAGAAAAGCTATTTTCCCAGAGCGGCAGACAATTAGTTCAGAATAGGGTGTGTGGTTGTGAGGGATGTTCAGGCTGATGGTGTGACAAGACAGATGCATAAAGAGCTTAAGATACTAGTTTAAACTGCTTTAAGGATGAAAATAGTTTAGTGTCCATTTTTATTTACATGCAAGGCAAAAGAAATTCCAACAGTTTAGACACATATGCCCCTGTCAAAAGTTAGAGTGCCTTAGATCTAAGGCTATCTTACACAGTAAGAAAGTTCTGCACACAGGTGAAAAATACTAAGAAACAAATACTTGTTTTGTCATTAGGAAAACAAAACAAAACAAAACAATTAAAATCTCTCTTTAAATATTCCTCTTTGGGAAAATAAAAAACAAACCAAAAAAAACACCCACAAAATCCCACCAACCAAAATCTTACTAGGTGTACCAGACCCCATGTTTCTAGCTTGAATTTTTTGCAAGGCAGATCTCAGAGAAGCACAAATACCGTTAGTTCCAGAGTGACAGAATTGACAGGAACTTTAGGATACTAATACTTCTGGTTGGAGTTGCACAGCTGCCAAGCAGCTCCCCCTCTGCTCTGTCACGACACAGCTACACTGCACTGTGAAGTGAAAGCACAGGAAGAGAAAAGCCACCTAAGTCAACGTTGAATCACAGCCCAACAAAACCAGAGAGAACTTGGATGAATTTGCACAGTGTGAGCATTTGTACAAACTGCTATGAAAAAAAAACAGGAGGGGGGAAGTACTGAAAACTTAGGAAGCAGCTGTACAGCTCGCATAGAAATTTAGAGTAATTTAAAAATCAGAGAACTCACAGCACAAACATCCCTTCCCACAGTTGCTGGTCTCTTGAACCACCAACAAAAAGGACTACTACTACTTGACAAAATCATTACCTCTTGTTTTATGAAAAGAATACCCCAATAACCATTTAACCTTGAGTGCTGTACAGGTGGGAATACCAGGCATATATGCCTTAAAAGGCTGAAAAACTAAAATAAACAGGCCAGAATCATAAAACTGCAATGAACTTAGAACACATCTAACATTTATTCCTGAGAACCACTTTTCTCAATGTCCCTTACTGCTTTGGCAAATGCAGTTGGAAATAATCAAAAGGAATTCTCAAGGGTATCCCACATGAAGACACTTGCAGTCAATTTGCCAGAATTTTGTTTCCCTTTTATTTCTAATACTTCTCAGAATAGAGCATCGGCTGGATCTGAATGATGATTCAAATAAAGAATCCACATGAAAGTCAAGAGATTCGCACCCTGCTGAGAATTTCAGCTGAGGCCTTTACTACATTTGACAGCATCGCCAACCTCAGATAATTCTTGGTCAATTGTCTGATTTGTTTTCAAGGTAGACTAATAACATGCCAAACAGGAGACTGCTTGGTATTCATTAGGCAGAGGATGTGAACAAGGCAATAACGGGAAGCAAGGGTACCTGCTACACTGTTTTCTTCTGGTCTGCCCTCAATTACAGGTAGCACCAAAAGATTCAGCTCTTCTCTTCTGGGTATTTTTCCAGCATCCATAACTACACATAGACTTATGTTAGCAGTCTTACTCGATCACAGATCTGGTGCTGACAAGTTTTGAGTTGCTTCCTAAGCTTTTTAGTGTCTTGTTTTGCTAGAATAGAGCTATAACCTTGCGATTTTCTCTAATACTTAAAATTTGTGGGAAATTTTAAACACAAATGAAGATCTGTGATTTCTAACTTCTCAAGTCTTCACGCATTGCAACTTAAAAAAATCAGTTAATGTAAAAAAAATTAGTATCAGTGCTTCAATCATACTCAGATACTTTGCAGAGAAACCTTTGAATAAATCTTTGAGTCTCCCAGCAACCTCTAACTGACCAGTGATCACATACAGTCCTGCCTGCAGGCTACAGGTACTACAAATAAACAGCTTTACTCGATCAGACCCAGGGTTCACCTAATCTGTTACCTTCTCTCTAACAACAATCATTAGAGACTCCTGGAAGAAGAGTTCAAATAAAAGCAGACAGCAATACTCTCCCAGCTTCAAATATTTGTACTTGCAGAACTTCCATTAGCCAAAGCTGACCACTCTTATTCAATGGCTCCAGATTGATTTACCTTCCATTCATTTATATCATTGTTCTCTGAACCTATACAAGCTTGCAGCATCCAAGACATCCTGTGGCAAGGCAGTCCACAGCTCAATTATCTGTGGTGAGAAGAGACACTTCAATTCGCTTTGAACCTGCACCTTCCAGTTTCCTTTAAGGCTCTCTTAGCTCTCCTGTCAGTGACTGACTTCAGTTTGATCTTCATGCTCGTCACAGACATCTTCACATATTCCCTCATTTAACTCTTTCAATATCTATTATTGTTACAGAAGTCTTTTCATATCTTTGGTCAACCGTCACACTTGTCCCTCTGCTCCTTCCTCAGCTATTAATTTGATTTCTAGGAGATAGGGAGGTCAGAGCTGTATTTAGCACATTCAAGATGCAGTCGTGCAATGACATAAATATGTTCTCCATTTTCATCACTTTTCCTTTCTTCATATTCCTAGTACTCAAGCTTTTATTTTGTTTCGGTTTTGTCTGACTGCTAAGCATTAAATACAAGTCTTCATAGATTCAAATTCAGATCCTGTCCCCAAGTTCAGAGCAATTCATATACACAATGAATGTTCCTTTTTCCCGTACATGCACTACATTTGTCAGTACTGATTTTCATACTCTGTTTTATCCACAAAGCCATGCAAATTCTTCCCTGTTGGCTCTAGTCTTACTAACATAATTGTATTATCTTTATAATCCCTTTGTCATTTTAAATAATAATTCTGAACCTATCAAAATCCCCAAGCCTACATAGTGTTAAAGGCATTCAATATTTCCATTACAGCTATGCATGCACACTTAACATACATTGTGCTAACTTCCAAGAAAAACTCATGCAACAAAAATAACTTGAGGGAACTGCTTGGTATTATTTCAATATTATGCATCTGTATGTTGCACATTTCCCCAGAAGACTGCAGAAAAGCCAAGAACCAAGTGGACAAGATAAAAAATACAAAGAGAGAGATGTCACAAAACAGTTACCATGAGCTAAACAAGCTACAGACCCTATTTGAATTCCAGTCTACCTATACTATGAAATCGCTGCATCTGTCACTCTGAACGTACTGTACCACGATGCTAGTCTACTGCATCCATTTCCTTCCTCTGGGACACAGAAGTTAAGTTTTACCTAAGTGGCTGTAAGGATGGATACAGCTGGAGAACAATGGACTAAATACAGCTCTGAGTAAATGAGTCTGGTCAGCCACAACTGCACATTAGCAGAGCCTGGCCCATTAGCAAACTACCAACAACAGAATAAAGCAGCTAGGCAAAAAGGATACAGTAGTAGAAATGGATAAAAGTTCAGGACCTCATTGGAAGCCCTTTCTCCACTGTGACACAAAGGCTGCAGCAAGGATGGAAATGTAACCGTTTCTATTTTACTATTTCCCAAATACCTCTGAAAGGGAAATGTTAACTACCAAAACACAAAATGTTCCTAAATGGCAGAAAAGAAGCTGAAGTGAGAAGCAGTATGTTTGGGCTATGCTTTCCTCTGGGGACTTGAACTTCTTGTGCTACTTCACCAGAAGTGATGTTGTGTTAAGAGTTTTACACAAGTTGTGTCATTGTACACATTATTCTTAATTACATAATGAGCTATCATTAGGAATGGCCACACCAACCCAAGTTGGGGAGGTAAAACACGTGTGTGTGCATGCACTTTAAAGTTTCAGAAAGAAGCAGCTCTGAAGAGACACTTCAGGTCCTACTACTTAACTTTAACAAATTAGAAAGCTCTCATTTCAGCCTTTCCATGTATCCAGTATGCCTTTACACATTACTATTACCTGATGTAGAGCCAAGTCACTAAAGAGTGGAATGCATCACCTGTGTAAATTCTGGAAGAAATCTGCAATGCTCCCTGTGCCACTTTGCCCATTAGCCCACTGGCCTTGCAAGTATAATTTCCCTGTGCAAAAACACACAAGGGATAAAAGTGTTTGCTGAAGGTACTTGTTTGTTATTCTGAGTCACATTTTCTAGCACCTGTTTTTCAGTTCACATTTATTGTCAAATTCAGCCTAATTTCATCCATGTCTGTCTTGAATAATAATAATAAAAATTCTCGACTGTATTGCATTAAATAGGTCAGATGCCACTGTCAAAACCCTGTGACCTGTTTTTATATGTTGGGAAGTAATAAAAGATATGTTGGGTATGATGTGCAGCTACTGCCTGCAGAGCCATTAGCCCACAAGCTTCTATTAAGTAAAGAAGCCATCAGACTTATGCAACAATTTTGTGAGGGCAGTATCTGCTTCATTCCATTCAAGTCAATGCATCACTGCCCTTGCATAACATACATTATTGTTCTTTCCATATTTTAGATCACTGCTGTGTAACAATACCCTATGGGGGTTTGCAGATTTTAGTTTTAAAAAGACCACTAGACTTTCTTTATTTTAGACTATTAACAGTCTGGGCATTAAACCCTTTGGCCAGCTACACCAGTACCTGGGATTTGAAGGCATATTTTAAACAGAAAGCTTTTTGAACTGCTCACTCATTTCCTGTGGACATAGTTAATAAGCAAGTTATCCCAGGAGTGAGATAAACGAAGACTTATACCCTCTGCTACTATATATGCCCCATAACAGCCTGAATCCTGTGATTTCATAGAATAGTTAGGGTTGGAAAGGACCTTAAGATCATCTAGTTCCAACCCCCCTGCCATGGGCAGGGACACCTCACACTAAACCATGTCACCCAAGGCTTTGTCCAACCTGGCCATGAATGCTGCCAGGGATGGAGCATTCACAGCTTCCCTGGGCAACCCATTCTAGTGCCTCACCACCCTTACAGTAAAGAACTTCCTCCTTATATCCAATCTAAACTTCCCCTGTCTAAGTTTTAACCCACTACCCCTTGTCCCCTTTTTTCCAAGGCAAACAACTCCATTTATGATATCCAAGTCAAACTTAAGTGTGTGATAGTAATATAACCAGTACATAGGTTAGTTGGGTAAATAGTGCTGCTAAACAATGACAGATTTACCTAACTCTTCTCAAGTGGGGGTACTAATTCATGTTCCTTTTCTTCCCAGCTGTCTATTGCACAACACTTATGAGCATAATTCTCTCTGAAACTTCTACCCCCTTCAAATTCAGTTTGAGACAAAGGATTCAAAAGTTACTGTTGCACAGACTATCCATTTCCACCATACACCTTATTTGTTTAAAGAAACGGGCAAAAACCAAATCTAATGTTGGAAAACACACAAGCATTCAACACACCCAAAAATTTAGTGCCAATACACCTCAGCCATCGTTACATACACACCAAAACTTACCGTCTTTTCCTCATTTTCAAATGCTTCTCTTGCTTCTTCATAGCTACAGATTTCTTCTCTGCATTCACGTTCTATGTCACCTTGCTTTATTTCTTCCAGGAATGTGTTGGCTCTCGGGTATCTTTTTAACACAGAATTGGCTTTGTCTTCTGTTAAGAACACTGAATAATAGGAAAGACAACAAAGATCACTTCTGAAATAGACATCCAAAACCTCATGCTAGAACTGCTGAAACAAAAAGTGCTTCTGAGAATTAAAAGAGCTTTTTCAAAGTCTTCCTCTTTATTTAATATGATAAAAGGCCTTTCAGTTCACTACTGTAAGTATTTGGAGTAGTTATTGTTGTATGCATCAAATGTGATGGACCTCAGTTCAGTATCACAGTCATGTCTGCTTAAACAACATTGAAGACCTGTGCCTAAGAAGAGTGCTCAGAAGAGACAGGCACATGCACAGCTCAAGCAACTTCTAAAACTAAGATGACACAGAACAAACAAATACTGCTTGTGAACACCCAAAAGGATATTTTCAACTGCCTGAAGGCATCACAACGAGAATGCTCTGAAGTTTTTGATGTAAATATTTAAGAGTATTACTCGGTCACATGAACTTTGATAAACGCCGCTGTTCTGGTGTAAGTCTGTAAGTTTTCTTAAGCAACTTTGAAGCAGACTTCTTTTCTTCACTCCAGAAATCTCAACCATGAAATAATGACCCTTTTGGGGGTATGGGGAAAGTAGCCTACTTCTGTTTTCTTGAATCATACACAAAACCTCACCCTATTCAATGAATTAAATACAACAACCTCAAAAGACAACAAATGTTCTGACACAGTATTCCTTATTTGCTTTTCTTAGGTTTTGGTTCAAGAAAAGAGCTGGAAGCTCTTCTGATGTTTCAGTTTTTCCTCAAGCACCTTGACCCAGTGATTTTTACAGTAATACACAGCAACTGGCACACTCCAAAATCCATCAGACTGAATTACCCAGGAGGTACATCTGCAGTGAACAATGCAGAAATTCTCCATGTATTTCAGGTCAGAAAGCAAGAACATCATGTAAGCGCAACACTCTTCTTGTGCTCTCACTGCCAGCAAGTGGGGCTAATTATTCAATACACTGCCATGCTGATACACTCATACCACTTTCCCTACTTGTGCAATCATTTCTGCATTGGTTCATTTACAGCTAGCTCAAGACACGTGATATACCAGGAAGACAAACTCACTATCTGCTAAAGACAGTGACTGACTGGTTTCAGAAATGATTTATCTATAATATTATAAAAATCAGCTGTGTTTTCTTTTCCCTGCTAATCTGATTTTGAGTTTCAAAAATGCATGGCATCAAGTCTACAAAGATGACCACAATGCTTTTGCTTTAGATTGATGTGTGATTTTTCAACAATGAGGTTATTACCATAATTAGCGTGATCTACTTTAATTTTGTTTAGTCTTTGTGTTATACTTTGTTATAAATTGTTAGACAGTCATTTTCCTTTTGCAAAGGATTAAATGAAGATTTGAAGATTAAACTCCAAAACACCCAGTCACTCCCATACTTTCAGTTGAATATATGTGGTCCACAAATGCACCACACAATTACACTATTCATGATGCTGCCAGAGGTTCAGGGCATAGAACTCTACAACTGCACCCATTAAAATTTTGGTTTTCTACAGCACCACAGGCAAGCACATGAGCATCTGCTATTGTGTAAGTTCGCTGGCTGAACATACAAATTAATATGCAAGGATCTCTTCAAAAGGGAAAGGAATAAAGGATGGCTTCTTTACATTTCCCACAGCACTTCTCTGACTTCCCTCTGGGCCTAAAGAGCTTGGTTTCTTTCAACACATCTCAGTGATCACCTAAACACGATGAGCTGAAGGACATGTCTGCATTAGGAAGCCAGCATGCAGCCATGCAGGGGGATGGACTGCCAGTCCTCTATACTTCTCAACAACTCGTCCTCTGGGCATTCCTGAAGCAGAACGAGGTACAGCCCAGAATCTCTTAAGAGTGTCCATACATGGAATCAGTGAGGAGCAGATAATACACTACAAATCAAGTTTCCCTTCAGCAGATAAAACCTAGGGAATTTCATTTCACAACTGGAATCTGTTTCTGAAAAGAGAAATGAGAGAAACTGTGACAGCTTTGTACTGAATGCAGAGGGAAAAGAAAAATGAAAATGCAGGAAGCTGAAAATACCCCAATTCAAAGCCTCCAGCTCTCAGAAACAATATACAAATCTCTGTTCCTGCAAGCACTTTTCAATTTCCCAAAGCAGGAAACTGAAAACAAAGGTTCAGAAGCTGGCATGTTACAAAATACTGCATTTGATACACTCATTGGGATGAGTTTCTAGGAAATAGTTTAGTTTTCCAAAAAGAGCTCAGCATACATTCCTGCTTCAAAATGGATTGACAAAGAACAGCAAAACATTAAAGTAATCCAATATTCAAGAACGGCCAATATATGATTATATAAAAAGACCAAACTTTTTTATTTAGCGATTCATATTCAGAAAGTCTCTTCTCTCACAATATAGTAGAGCAAATGCGTACATCATAGAGACAAAAAAGCCCACTGAGGAAAATAAAGCATACAATGATTAATTCTAAATGTGTCTGATAAATAATAAACCATGATTAGTCCAGACTAGGAATGGCTTTTGACCCTGCAAAGCTGGAAAAATTAAGTATATTAATTAGTCTGGGTTTGACATTTTTGAAGCTCTCCACACTCCTATTGACTTTAAATCCAATCAAGAAGTCAACACAAATGCAGCAAGAAAACAAAAACATACACTGATCAAAGCAATCTTGATAGAGATACCAATTGAAATATTTAATGAGAATCAGTCATTGCCTGATGAATCCCATAAAGTGAGATAATGGAACCATATTACTTAGTATTCCAGTACCACCATGCAGACATTCAGTTATAGTTGCACAGGAGGGACTAAAAAACCTGCTTTGAGCTGGATGTGCACCTAGGCAAGCTACGGTGTGGCTGAAATCACTATAGCTGTTACTATGGAGTTAATCAGAGAAGAATTGCATGTGACAAGAATAAAATTACGGAGCAAGATAAAACTTTTTCACTTTGTTAAGGAAACTGACTAGCAAATAAAGGGAAAATCAAAAGGGACTAAAAGGAAAAAAATCAAAATTATTTTGGCATTACATAAGATAGGCACAGAAACAAATAATCTAGTCTTCCTCTCCTTGAACTTTTGTAGAATACAGATATACAGCTACCAAATTAAATGTATCTGAATCCATTTTTATTTCTTCAGACACATTAGTGCTCAGTGTGTTACTGTAACACTTTGCTTTTAGCAAGTTTTTATGTACCAGACAGTTACAAAGAAAATCATTCCAAGTCTCAGTTTTGCTTACAATTATTGAAGAGAGTAATACAGCCAGATCAATCTAGCATGCATTCCCCAGAAAACCTGTGTGCTTATCACAATAGCAAATAGATACTCTAGCAAGGTGAAATTCAATTAGAATCAGAAAGAGACAGGTAAGGAAACGAGAGGGTAAGTATGTGTCAGCCTACCAGCTGAAGCTGTCACAGGCAAAGAAAACAGGTTTCAGGTCTTTAGTGACAGAAGGAACAGGGAGCAGCAGCATGGGAAAAGTATTCTGAGGCACAGAAGTGTTGCTGAAGCCAAGCCCACGGCATTCTGGACACCAAAACCAGCTCTATTGAGACTACTATCGAATCTTCCTTTTTCTGACTTCTTACCAACACCTAAGCAGATTAAAACCACCATTAAATACTAGATACAAACATTTAAAGTATGAAGGTGCAGCTACTGATAGTTCTGAAACTTTCTGTAGGTGATCTTAAAAAAATTATTTGGTTTGCACAGAGCAGAAGGGAGAAAGATTATTTGAGCATTTACTTAAAAAGCTTTAAAAGTAACTTCTGCTCCGAGAATGCAGAGGTACTAGGACAAGCTTAAGAACAGTTAAACCTAAAGTACTCCAGGCTGGAAACTCATCTCTGTGGTCTTCATTCTGCAGCCAGCTTTCGAAAGTCCACAAATGAGTATGTGATGATTACTATGGTCTGCATATAGTATCTCTTTTAGAACAGCAGTATGATTCCAGTTCAGTTCAGTGTGGGAAAAGATCTGCATCCTATATAACACCAGATCTAGTTCAATAGCAGAGGACATTGTTTATGCAAACTGACTGAGATTTTGAGCAAAGGATAGTTTTGGGGTGTGTTAATGCCCACTTCACAGGAAGTAATAAAGAATGCACACTCATCACTAAGTTAACAAACTTACCGCGATCCATGATGATTACTGTCAAGGCAAGGAACTTGCAAATATCAAGTCTGTAACAAAAAAGGAAACATCCTGTTTAGTTTATGAATTCTGATGAACTTGCAAAAGTTTCTCTTGACTTCCACATGTTGCTACAAATGTATGAGTGTTGGAAACCCCATGGTCAAGATTAACCCCTTTTCTGAACTGTACCAATACTGCATGTAGACTAAATTCAGTAATATAGGAATACTATCCCAAAAAAGGTAACTGTTGTGAAATGGTGAATGCTTTAACCTTTTTCAAAGCTTTCCATATTTAGAATATGCAAAAAATGCTGATACGAAACAGAAGGTGTATATAAAAACCTGCAACCACTGTTTTCCCTAATCCAACTTGAAAGGTATTACATTCTCCACTGTAATTAATCCGTATCCAAGACTTAAATTCACTCTGCAGAGATCACCAAGTCAACTCATTATCTTTAGTCTATGGATCACGCTTTCTAAGATCAGAATGAACACATGCAAATTCATTCACAATATGCTACTGATTAAAACAGAATTCCTGCATAAAGTTCAGTGGCAGAACAAGATCCGTGATTTGGCAAAGGAAATAGAAATACATGAGAGGATCCCAACCTGTCCTACAAGAATCTACATGTACTTTATACCACATCTTGGAAAGAGACCAGACAAAAGACGCTCTCAGTCACAAGAGTGCCAAAACTCATTGCACTCACCAGGCAAAACACCAAGAACTACATCTGAAAGCAGAAAGAGTAGTTTGAGGGACTGTTTTCAGTTTCTTGGAGTCATTTTTCTTAGCAGACTTCCCTATGCAAAGACAAAACCACCTTTGCCCCTTGCTTCTTGAACAAAGCCAAAATCAGTGTCATTTTCTGGGTAGTCACAATGTTACAACCCAAATACCTATGCTGAAGAAACGGCCAAGCTTTTACTAACAAGCAGGTCAAAAAACTTGGCTACTGCTGTAACTATTCTCTTCATCTGTTACATTATGAATTTCTTCTGCCATTTATTACCTGCCAGTTTCAGGTGGCTGCTTTTGCAACAGCAGCTCAAGATTCCCAGTAATAGAAAAGCAAGACCCATGAGTCCTCCCTTGCTCTAGTGAAGTAGCAGTACAACAAACAGTGTATAAAAGGTACTTCACCAAGCCTACCCTCTCTAATGGGCACTCTTCTCTGCATTAAATTTAGAATAAAAATAAAAAAAAATAAAAAAAATCACGCAGTCTTTGATATTTCACCCTTTAACAAGTAATGTGTGTGGATTTCAACAACATTTGAAAAAAAACAAAACCCACAAAAAAAACAAAAAAAATACACACACAAAAACCCAAACCAAACAAAACAACAACAACAAAAAAACCCCACCAAAAACCAGACTCTCCCACTGCAGAGGAACCACTTGGGTCTTTGCCCTCAACTGCCCCTTCACATAAAAGAAAAAGCTTAATTATTTTTCAGTCCTCTACTCCCTGACAGTCTTGGTTCAAACTAAATAGTTCAAAGGTTGTTTGGAAGAAGGGATCAAACAAACAAGTACACAATAAAGCTGAAGAGGGCTGGCAATACTACAATATCTTGACTCACTACCGACTCATTTATTTCTCTACCCAACTCTATTTAGTTTCTGCTTTTAAGTCTTCATGAACCTTACTGAAGGTTACGATGTTCCTATGGTGTCAAAAGCAATGTTTTTCATATATACATGCCAATGCCAGAACATAAAATCCTCTACAGAGAGTATCTCACTAGTAACACCAATATCTACTGCATCAGGAATCCCTCTTCCAACTATCTTCTATATATTATCCCCTCCACACTCCTCAAGAGGTTATACATCACCTTAGATTTGCTTGTGGAAAAAGTGACAACACGGTGGGCAGCATGGATAGCTCTATAACCAAGTGTTAAATTCCTTGTTCAATGGCAAGCTGACATACCTGACCAACAAGTGACCTTTTCTGCCTGCCTACTTGGCTGACAGGATAATGGTAAGAAACTAAACTAAACTAAAACAATCAACCTTCCACTTCTAGTGGAAAGTATAATGACCTAATGGAAATTCAGTGAGTTCTAAAGCACGTGAGACAGCAAAGGAGGCATACCAACAAAGCCGTTGCTATTTACCAGCAGCTGTGCTCACCACCAAAGGGCTACAGTCTTACTAAGGAAAAACATTTTGCATGAAATTTTAAAGAATATTGAAGTAACAAACTGAGCTTTACACTTCTTTCCACATCTAACCTATTTTTTTTTAATCCTGAAAGTTCCCAAACCTTGTATACACTACGTATAAGCACAAAGCACAGAATGTTTTTATGCACATTTTCAAAGCTGGTAATCATACTCTAGTAGTGCAATGTATCCCTTAATTTGGGAAGTCAATTAATTTCAGCACTGAAAGTTGTTGGCTCATGACAGCATTTCTGCAAGGTTTTGTTGCATTTGTCAAGATAACCATATTCGGTTGGCAGGTATTCTTCTTCTGGGAACGCTCCCCGACTACAAGTTCAATGGAAACTTGAGTGCAGCATGTATTGTTTAAGGACAGAAGATGTGACGGAGGGCACACAAGTCCAGACTGCCTTCACTATTCTCACTCACTGACTTGTCATATATTCTATGGAGACAGAATATAAAGAACAAAGCAAGTCCTTAAGGGAAGAAATTACAAAGAGAAGAGAAAATAAGAGTAACAAAAAGCAGCAACAGCATTTTCACACAGTTACTCACAGGCTTCGTTAACAGTGATATAAAGCACTGCCAGGCCATCATGCTCCTCTCAAAAATGGGGAGGGAATACACATTACAGTACCCAGGTAGGAAGAGGGAAGTGACTTTTTTCATTCTACAGTACAATTCTAACAAGGAATACAGCCGTTAGTATTAGTTTTGTAAACTGTACAATTAATGAGGCCACTGGGATGCAATTACAACCAGATGCTACATAGAGCTATACAACTTTTTAAAGTTATAAATATGTAGGTTCTTCTAGAGCTTTTCATGAAAGCAGGTACATTCAAGGGACACTGACTTGAACATAAGTAGATGTTCAGTCTAAAAATGAACACACCTATTCTAATCCATATCCTCAAAAAAAGTGCCACGTAACAACTGAAACACTCCTGTGGGAGGTTTGTTTAGAAGAAAAATGACAACATTAAATAATTACACAGGAAAACAGATGATAGTTGCCTGACTGCCTTTATTCAAAATACTTTATGTGCCTACCTAAAAAACCCAGTCCCACCATGCGTGTCTTTTACATCCTTGGAAAAAATGCTGCAGAAGACTACAATTTTCTCTTATGATGACTTGTTTCAAGTAACTTTTTCCCCATAAAAGCACACAAAGAACTTAAATACATTCAAATGTTGGACAAATCCATTGATTTTTCTTTGAATAGGAAGTCTGTAGATAAGGATATGCGAGAAGCCTGCATTTATTAAGTTTGGTCTGCTTGTAACAGCAAGATTTTTCCAGAGAATTTGGATGGGAATAAAGAGGGATGAAACATTTTTGAAGCTACTTAATCAGACAAGGACAGAAAAGATTCCTCCCACCTGAGACTTATTCCGGTACAAGGATAAGAGTGAATGAGAGAACTGAAAAAACCTCTGCCTTATAGATAATACCCAATCACAGCATTATAAAATATTATCATTAATTTTGATTACACATGGACTCAAACCCACAAACCGGACTGCTAAGAGAAACCTGTATTCAGTGGACTGCCATTCTACCTTAAAACCAATAAAATGTATCATTACTACTCTTAGAACAAGCATGCCGAGTACAACTCTCCAACACCACCCTGTTAGCACAGAGAAGGTGGCTCATCCTGATGGCAGCCGGACAGGACTTCGGATGGCTAAGAGTGAAGTCTAGGCTTCTGCCTCATTACCCCTTCTTCCAAAGTAACTGTGACATGTGCTGAAAAGGTCCCATGTTGGGTGCCAAAAAGGACTGTCACAATTCAATCCCACCTGGCAACTAAGCTTCACAGAGGCACTCACCCACTCACTTCGCATTGGGATGAGGAGGGAGGAAGACTGAAAGTAAAAAAAATTAACAGGTAAAGAAAAAGCCCCACATGCAAGCAAAGCGAAACAAGGAATTCATTCACTGCCTCTCACCAGCAGACAGGTGTTCAGCCAACTCCAGAAAAGCAGAGCTCCACCACGCATAATGATCACTGGGGAAGACAAATGCCATCGCTCCAAATGTCCTCCCCTTCCTTCTTCTTCCCCTAGTTTATATGCTGAGCATCACCCCATACAGTATGGGATACCCCTTGGGTCAGTTGGGGTCAGCTGTCCCAGCTGTGTCCCCTCCCAACTTCACATGCACCCCAGTCTCCTCATTGGTGGGGTGTTGTGAGGAGCAGAAAAGGCCTTGGCTCTGTGTAAGCACTGGCCAGCAATAACGAAAGCATCCCTGTGTTACCAACACTGTTTCCAGCACAAATCCCAAAGTACAGGCCCATACAAGCTACCATGAAGAAAAACTCTCTCACAGCCCAAACCAGCACATGTATTTAGGTGTTTTTTGTTGTTTTAAAGCTGTGGTGGTATTCTGGCTGGTTACTCTCTGGTTACTTCCAGGTTCCTCTGGCTCAAATGGGCAGCTGCTATAAAATATCTCTTCCTTCTCCTCCCCTTCAAAACCAGACAAGGTCAATCTTCTGATGCACACACTTGGCCAGTAGGACATGTGGGAGAAGTAACAACACTCTCCCTTCAGGAGACTTTCATTGGCAGGTTTCATTGTTTTAAAGTGCATGGGAACCAGCCAGGGCAGCTCTTATGAGGCATAACTGAACACTTACGTAACTGCATCTGTACTGAAACCAGAACTGCATAAATACTCAAGAGACTGTGCCGTTTTGAGCTGCTTACATAGTGGCATTTCAGATCTCAGTCTTCTATAAGCTACAGTTAAAAGACATTGCTGCTTTACATTAGACAATCCCACTATGCTTTAGGAATTAAAATTTGGAGTATTTATCTTGATAATCCATCAAAGTGTTGACATAACGAT